ATTATACACTCCAAAAGACCATGTGTCCTGCCACTCCAGTTTTGTAACTTACCAACTACTGGTGATTCATCTCAGTGAGTCTCAGTTTCCACTAAATGTTCCCAACACTGTTGTGGAGACCAAATAAGATTGGACTGTGAGTAGCTAGAGGGCACAGATTTGTGGTATTAATCTTCATATTCTCACAGTCTAGCAAAGTTTATAATAGCAGCCACTGAATGGGCAAAAGAACATCCAAATAGCAGAGGCTATAAGCATCAACACCACATAAATTAGGGCATGGGTCATCCAGCTTTCACTTTGTGATGAGTTCATTGACTTTTCAGTAGCTTGACTCTGAGCTTTCATTTCTAACCTATGGTGCAACAAGATGGCTCTACATTCTCCCTAAGCCTCCTTCCAGTCTTGGGCTTCTTTGATACTGCTACATGCTGTTTGTAAGTAGCCAACCTGAGTTCTTAGTTTTCAACTTGAAATAAGTTTAGATTTAAAGAAAGCATAAGATTCACATCTGTTCTTCACCTAGCTTCTCCAGTGCTACCTCTCATAACTTGAGTATGTTTTTGAAACACTAAGAAATGACATGAGAAGAACCCTAAACTTAGAAATGACTACGATCTCATCAGTTTTTCCATTAATGTCCTTTGATTGGCCTAAGATTCAAGCCACAATATTATGAACATTTATGCTTTTGAAACAAAGAGTTTACTATGAACTCTTTTAGTTTACTGAAACAAAATTATAGGAGAATATGAATCTAATATTGGGTTCATCTTGTGGTAACAATGTGTGCCAACCATGCTGTATACATATTTTAGAGAGTCTTGGGGAACCTTAAAAGACCACCCTGCATGTTGGTGGGTATAGTGAGCTAAAATGAAATGCTGGACACTGTCTTATAAATTTGGAAATACCAGAAATCAAAGGCATAAGCAAAATGGTTTTCCCCAGGGGAAAACATCTTCATTGAGGGTAGTGAAGATACTGTCTGGGATTTGGGCTGCCTCAAGCACCAACTAGACTAATTTGGTTTTTAGGTATGTATTCATTGGGGCCTTGCTATGTGCTAACATTATTGTAGGCACTGGGAACACAGAAGTGACTAAGAGAAAGTTTTCTTAAGTTCACAAAGCTTATATTTAATGAGGGAAACAAATAATAAGGAAATACAGATCTAGCAGCAAGTATATTCAGAAAGCAGAGCATACTGAGGTTATAGAGGAGGAAGGACATTGGTTTACAGGAAGTGAGCACTGTGCATTTGGAATGCTGAGGACCATGAGCTGGGACAATTGCTCTGCACTGCACAGCACACTGCACATTGTGAAGGCCAAAGTTCCTGGCCAAAGTGTCTAGTTTTAGATGTACATTGATGCTGATGTAGCTCTGTGGAATAGTCACCCTTTCTTCTCCTTTCAGTTTTGTGGATTGTCGTTGATTAATTAATTCAAAAAATTCAGCTCTAATAAAATAGATGCTTTAAAAATGTCTTTCAGATTCTCTGAAGTACAGGGAGTAGAAATGGTACAATATATAGAACATTCTTCCTCCACATAGGGACCTCACATAAACCTGGTTGGCCCAAAATAAGTTTTGTCAAATTCATTAAATAGTTATTGACTGCCCTTAAATAGGATGCTAAAGTGCTAGATGTTTGTTTTAGATGCAGATATATTATAGAGTTCCCTTCTTCTTCTCCTAGAGGCATCATGCCTTTTATTTCTCCCCTATTTTCTCACCCTCCCCCCCAACAAAAGGAACTGAATACCTAAGAGAGAGTATAGCTGGGAGGTAAGATGACAATTTGACTTCACTACAACTTTCAGTTTCATCTTGCTCCGCACAAGAAATCTATGGGACCTCCTATAGTAGTTCAGTACTTATCCCTAGCATAGGTGTGGACTTTGGGAGCCCATTCCATATAGAGGAATACTCCCTGAGCCAAGACGCACAGGGGTGGACCTAGGCCCTATCCCAAAGGATACGATAGACTCTGATGACACCCTATGGAAGGCCTCACCATCCAGGGGGAGCAGAAAGGATATGTGATAGGTAGGGTTTTAGTTGGGGGAGTGGTAAGGGAGGACAGGAGGGAGAAGGGAACTGGGATTGTCATGTAAAACAATCTTGTTTCTAATTCAAATAAGAAAATCTGCAAAAAAAAAAAAATGTGTATCCCACAGTATATGCTGATACGCTAATCAAAGTCAGAAGAACCCCCTGAGAACAGACCTGGAACTTCCCCCTGCCACCCAAGGCAAACATAGTCATGGCGGACTGGGTAAAGCCTCCTGGAAATTTCAGTGGTGGTAACAGGAGCCCTGCTTTGGAATGTCTGTTCGAAGCAGTGGCTTTCAGCATAGACACCCTGAGTACCAGCACTCATCAGATCCTGTGTATTGTCAAGTTTGTGTTTGTCCTTCCCGCCTCTTAAAATAAACCTGAAAGCTAATTTCCTCACACAAGACAGCCAAATTGCAGAAAACTCACCAACAACTCCTCCCCAGAACAGATTAACAGCCTGCAGCCAGCAGGGGGTGGGGGTGGGGCCACATGAAATTGCTCCCCAGCCTGTGAACAATTTCTTTCCTTCCAAATTTTGCACTGAGACTGGAGTCTGAACACAAAGTCATAATCGTCTAGGAGAAACCGCCTGGGGAGTCATGGGTACCAGTTCTGGGGCAGCTGCATCCTGTGGTGAGGAAGCCCTTTGGCAGGCTCATGGCTTTCTAGCCCTGTGATTGGTGGAGATGGGGAGAAGGAGACAAGGGAGGGTGGAAGCAGGAAAGCAAAGAACATCAGAAATGCAGGGGAAGAGGAGGGGAGAGACACCTTGCCTGTCAACTTCACACTAGTCCCCCTTAGGCAAAACAATAAACAAAACAAAATCAGTTTCTTCTTCTTTTTCCTCTCTTCAAATAGTTTGGGAGTTGGTAGCAAAGCAGTTGCAAATGGCCACGTTTCAAAGACAGCATTTGGCTTCTCTCCTTAGCTGGGTGGACACAGAGATCAAGGGACGGCAAGCAAGAGCCATGCACACTCTGAAGTGTGCCGCTGCTTGGTGGAACCTGTTAGGGGTTCATCCTCCAAAGGAGGCAGCAGGGAGACAGCTGAGCTGGGGCTAAGTCACACTGCATTTTGTCATTAGCACCAGAACCAAAACCCCAGCTCTGACTCAGCCCAGGGCTCTCCTGTTAGGGGTTGAGCAATATTCAGAGTGCTGTTCTTCCGTGGCTCTAACAAGAGAGTTAGAAAGCGGACCCATTTACATGATGGTCTCTATGGTGGGTGGATTGGACAGACAGTTGCAACTAGGTCATTTCCACCTTTGAAGCCAGGTGGCAGTGAGCTGGGCTGCTAAGAGACATTGGGGTCTGTCCTCAAGACAACTTGGTTTCTGAGTCATCTATGTGTCTGAAGGGTTTTCAGTTCATTAAACCTGTTTGGTAGAAACAGAGAGATACATGGAGATGGCCTAACAAAGCCTGTTCAGGCTGCCTTTGCAGTTCCTCAGTCTGCACCTCCTGGTGCAATTGCTGTCTCCTCAAGCCAGCAGGCCCTCTCCTCAGGAGTGGTAAACAAACTGCCACCTTCCCCACCAGGGCTGGGCTTCTGCTGGGGCCTTATAGATCCTACCTTCTCCCAGGATGACAAACTAGCTTGAGTGTGGTTCTGGGCCTCAGGCTCTGCAGACAAAAGTCTGCCTGAGGTGGAGGCAACAGGCTCTTTGGGGGCCCACTGCTGTCTCAGTATATGTTCTTTAGAGCCAAGACTTCCTGAATCCAAAGCTTGCCTTTCTAGCTGAGGAAAACCACAATATCTCTAGACCAGGGTTTGGTTACCTACGACATGGTCCATAGGCTTGTTTTAAGCATTAAATGAGGTAATTGTATTAAGTGCTTGGTATGATGTGTGCTCAAGGAAGCTCTCAATAGATGAGACAGTTTTTACTGATGTCCCCTTCTGTCCATTTGCTTCACTCACCTGTGCTGTTTTCTCAGGGATGGCTGGTGGTATCACCACTAAGGTTGCATTTTGACCCCTTCCAGCCCTCCACGCCACCAGTGCCTTCCAGGAGCCCCTCACACAGTTGTCTTGCTGAGCAGACAGCATAGGTGGCAGCCTTCCAGCTGGGCTACCTCCTCCTTTTGCCTGACTCTCCTAGGGTCAATCTCCACCCTCTCCCCAAACCCTGAGTTAGGACTGGCTTCAGACAGCTGCAAATGACTTGTCTAGCCATCACTGGCTATTGAGACCAGCTTCTGATCAAATACCAGGGCTGGGACAGTCACACAGAGAAGTACAAGCTGGAACCAATTCTACTCCTTTGATTAGGGGAAAGGGCAGATAGCAGAACACCTCTGAAGACCTTTGGTAAACTATATCTTGGCAATGGAGGCCACTTTAAACTCCAAGAGAGGAGAAGTGAAAGGGAGGAGAGGGAGAGAGACACACAGAGAATCACCAACTGCTCTTGTTTCCTCAGAACAGCGGAGAGCTATTTGACTTCACCCACCTTGCCTCTGCTTCTCAATCCTTTCTACCCAATCACTTGCTCTGAATCTGTATTTCTCAGACTACTGGTGCTGAGAATCCAATTGTTTTCTTCAGACTCTTCTGGAGTCATTATTTTTGGAAGATGGTAAGTCATTACAGAATGGAAACATTCCAATGTCACAGCAGTTCTCACTTACTATTAGTTACTTAAGGAATTTCAATTTCTTTTTCAATTTGATAAACATTCTGTAGACACACACCCAGTCCATGGGCCAAAATAAGCCTACGGATGTCTTTGAAAGAGTATAACCATCTTCCATGGACGTATTCTGTCCTGGTTTTTCATCTCACAATGTCATCTAGCAGCCCTGATCAGGAGAGCATGCAGCAGTGAGTTTAGGCTATGCCCAAGCTAAGAGCAATGCTAACCCTTGAGGACCAAACATCCCCCCTGGAGTACATGCACAGATGTTCTTATCCCAAGTGTACTGGATGCCCCTTACCATTCCATGCCAGCCCTGTTGATCTCCTCCCACCAGCACTCCGTGGGCTCCCCGAGGCTTTGGGGTGTGGGCATGCAGGCATAGTTCCATTGTCTGTCAGAGCCTTCCTTCTTGCTAAAGATGCTCCTCACAGCTACCACCACTTGCCCGTGGGGACACTGGTAGCTGAAGCCTTGCCGGTTCAGATTCACCCAGCCATCATCACTGTAGTCGTGGTACTGCTGGTATGGGTACCCGTAGTCCCCGTACTGGCCCCAGGCTGTGGTTACCAGTGGCAGAAGCACCCACAGAAGAGTGAGGTCCATACTGTCTAGCTTTTGGCACGAAAATGTCACCCTAAGTTTTCGGGGCTGACTTTTATACAGCTGCCGCTAACATGTGGCTCCCAGATGTGGAGGACCGGATCCAACTGCAGTGTGTCATTGCTCAAGCAAAAGCTTTTCCACGCTGAGAAATTGGCCTTGCTTGCGGCCAGCTTGTTTTAAGGTGGAATTCTAGGAATATACAAGGACCATGTAAATCAAGGAAGCCCCCCTGGAGAATCACTTCACGGAGAGGATCCAGGCCAACTGCTCCATTATTCTCATCAGAAATACCTAAGAAAGACCTCTTCATCGGTGCATCCCTCATCTCCCTGTATCCCACCCCTCCGTCCACTCCCCTCCTCACTAGCAAATCCTGTATCCTATCTCCAGCTTAGACTTCTAGAATCACAGACATATCGAGGTAATGATTTCAAAATATAAACAATAAAATATAAACAATGTAAGTTAAAGGGACACAACTGTTTAGTTGTGCCTGGTTTCTTCCTTTGAATTTGGAGTAGAAGCGGTTGTATCAGTTTTCAGGTCTGCAGTTAGAAGTCCTTACTTACTTACTTACTTACTTACTTACTTACTTACTTACTTGTAGGTAGAAGTGCTATTGGTCCGTGCAGGGAGCAGTGGGGCATCGTCTCTGTTCTGAAGCAGCTGCCTGAGCTGCTGAAGTTGATCCCTTCAGCTCTAGAATCTGTGCTCTGCTCTTAAGTATATAATAGATTAAAGGCAAATGAAACTTACTTTTTATCTGTCGGTCCATTTTACTTTACATTGACTTTTCTTTTCGCTGATGTCCAGTGTATAAAACAAACGTCAGCTTTTCAACTGTGTAGCACACAGCCCTGGAGTCAGCACTGAAATCAAGCTACGGAACAATGGGACAAAAGAGCATTTCTCTTTCTCATTCCTTATATTCCTCTGCATCCACATCTTTCCCAGTACCCAATTCTGGTACCCAAACAGTCTGTTTTCTCCCTCTACAATTTTTCCTGCTCCAAATGGTGAAATAAATGGAGTCACACCACATATGTCTCTCTCCAGTTACCCCTGCTTTGAGACTCATCTGAGCCATGTTAGATGTTCACCCCTTTTTGCTGCTGAGAAGGATTCTACAGCATGGATGTCCCCTACTAACGTACCATCCAAAGCCTGTGTGGGTTATTTCAAGTATGTAAAAATTATGTATAATTATGTATAAGTACTTATGAATAAAGGTTCTATAGAGGAAGAGAGGGTTTTATATGAACAACTTCTTCATTTCACTTTTGTAAATAATTATGACTGGGATTTCCAGCACGTTAGGTCAGAATATGTTTAACTTTAAAAGAAGCTGCCTGGTATACCATTATACCACCCTACCAGAATTACCCTTTCCTTTTAAAGTTTGGTCATTAAAATAGATGTACAGTGACAGCTTGATATGGGTATTTTTATCTCATGGTTAATGATTTTTGAGGATTTTTTTATTTGTTTATTGGTATGGCATGCATCTTTCAGTCTTAGCTGTTCTAGTATTTTGAGTCATTTGAGCATCTCTTTCTAAAATTTTTATTTGCATTTACTTTTTGTTGACAATAGATAAAACACGTTATATTTGATTATGGTTTCCCCTCCCAGATTCACTCCACTTTCTCATCCACCCAAATCCACATGGTTTATTTCTCTTTCTCATTAGGATAAAAACAAGAATCTAAAAAATACAAAAAAACAACAATAATAAAATTAGACAATATAAAAACAAACCAGAATAGGTTGAAATAGACAAAAGAAAAAGAGCCAAAGGAAAAGCTCAAGAAACACATATGGATGCAGACACACACACATTGGCACCCAGAGAAATCTCATTTGGCCATCTCTTAGGTACATAGCATTCCCCACTACTCACTATAGCTTTCCTTGCAGTTTCTTCCAATCATAGTTGCTGGCCAATGATATCTGAAAACTCCAAAATCTTTTTAAAATATAGTTCTGTCCTAGAAATGATGGATTGTAGCCTTGCAGGGGACCCAAGTGGTTTGTATTGACACTATTTTTTAGTTTAATTATTTTTTTGAGAATTTCATACTTGAGTACTGATTTAAATCATTTCTACCCTCCCTTCCTCCACCTCCAACTCATGACCTCGTCTTTCACTATTGTTACAGCTTGTTGAGTCCAGTCAGTGTCCTTCCTGGTTTTGGAACTGACCACTCGTGGTTGGATCACCTATGGGAACTCATCCGCAGGGAAGACTGATTCCCCTCTCAGCAGCCATTAATTGCCTGTAGGGGAGGGGAACTTATGAAATGCCCTTCATTCACGTTGGCATGTCAACTGGTGTTACCATTGTGCAACTCTTATTTAGGGGGCAGTACTGATGAGATTTCATGGGTGCAGCTTCCCCATCAGATACAGAAATCACTATCTCACAGCAGATGTCTTGTTGTTCTGGTTCTTGGAATCTTTTCACTCTTTCTCCCATGATGCTCCCTGAGCCCTAAGTGTAGAGGTTGTGTTGTAGATGCATCTGTTGGGTTTGGGTACTCCATAGTCAGTTGTTCTTTGCATCTTGTCCAGTTGTGGGTTTTTGTAATGGTCTGTCTGCTTTGTTAGGGGGATGTGTGAGAGCTATGCTTAACAACTATGTTGAGCGCGCACGCGCGTGCACACACCTACACACACACAGGAGAGTGAGCTCTCGGTGTACTGAATATTAAATTGCTCTCATTCATGGTCACTGAATAAAGGGAAGAAGTGGGTATGTTAGCTTTGGTTTTACTCTCAGCTCCATTTTCTTTATACTTCTCTATGTGACTGATTGGTTAGTGCTGGCAACTGAAGTCACCCCAGCTTAGATTGACCTCTCTGGCTTCTAATGCACGTCCACAATTGTCCTAAGCCTGTCAGGCCTTAAGAATTACCTGAGATGATTTTGAAAATTGCTGTGTCATTCTTAGAGTAGTTGGTCAGAAGCTCCTGAGCAATCCCTGGTGAGTGCTGTTCTTTAAAGCCCTCCCACATGATTTGCCTGTGCAGCCAGGGTTGAGGAGCCTTTGCAAGAAGCTTTTCTGCTCCTATTTGTCATCTTGATGCTTGTGAGCAGTGTCCTACATCTGCCCTTAAAAAGCTCAGAAACAGTACAAATCACTGTAAACACTCCTCCTCCTCTTCCAACATTTGTTTTTGCAAAAGCTTCCAGGCCTTATTTGTGCCCCCCCAACCTTGTTCTCTGCAAAATTTCCCAAAATATGCACATGCCAGCATCTTTATCCTCCTAGCCTCCATGGGCATAGATTCCCATGTGGTGTCTCTGGAGAGTCTAGAAACTTTGGAGGTATCTGAAGGAATTGTAGGATGCCACACAGAGGATGGTTTCCAAGAACAAACAGGCATTCAGAACTTAAGTTTAGTGCATTGGGGATTTGCCATGTGTTTTCAAGTAAGTTATCATATATTTTCTTCGTAACTTCATGGTCTATACAAAGGGATCATTACTAGGTCTATTTTTTCATAGATGAGAAAATTATAGTCTGAGAATTTCTTGACCCCAATTCCTAGAACTAGAAATATATGGCTTAGGTCTTCTGAGTTCTATTCTTCAATCCTTCCTATAATTTTTTATCAAAAACTGCAGTAATTTTTAAAAAATCTACACTTGGAATTTGCAAATAAAATATCTATAAAGTCATTTTATGTCAACATAATGGATTTCTGTGTTAATTATAAAATGTGCCACAGGCCTCTGGAACTAAATATTAGATCTTATTATAGTTCCAGGACCAGCGACATGGTTATCATCAGGAAGCTTGTTAAGGATGCAGACTCTCTGGCCTCACTCAATCCCACTGTCTCAGACACTCTACAAGTGGAATACAGCAATGTGTATTTTAAGAAGGCCCCTAGAAGGTATGATGCATGCAGAAGTGAGAGTCCTCATACTGATTCCAGGATCTGCACTGTCTGGGAGAATATCAGTGCAGAAACCTACCTGACCTGGCTTAGTCATCCTGACTCCAGAGCCCAGACTCACCACTATTGGACCGTATCTTCTCCTGGAAACAGGAAACTAAAACATTTCCTCTTAGAACATTGAAGTTTATTGAACTGAAGGATATTCAAACACAGAGAAACTTTCTGCTTTTCTAATTTCTGCCTAATGACAGGACATTAATCATTCTTTACAGACGATAGTTTTATCAGCTCAGAGCCAGGTGCCAGTGGGAACTGCAGACAAGCCTTGCTTCATTGAATTCTTCCATATATTTGATCTCCACAGTTTCCCTGTGTTTAACCATTCTCTTATGTCTTGTCTCTATCCTAAGATTTATTACCCTTTGTTTACAAAGTATAAAAGCATCTTGCTTTGGACATTTTTCCAGACTTCACTGTCTTATGGAAATTTCCCACAGACATACAAAGTTACTAAAACATGTATGCCTCATCTCTTGCTAATCTTACTTAATTTAATTGATAACATAACTAAAGGTCCTGGGTAAGAGCTATGGTGAGGCAAGAGAGTTGAGGTCCCTTTCCCTCACGTTCCTAATGACTTGGGATGTCTACGTTTGAAAAAACGTAGACAAGGGATATTCAAAACACTGCACAAGTCTTTTCGCTGGCTCCTCTTCCTTCTTGTTACTATTTCTTATTTGTCAGTAGCTTTAAGGAGATCTAATTCATATACCACCACTTAAGGTATATCATTCTGTGGCTGTTAGTATGTAGTCAAGTGCTTTATAACCATCTTGACAACCAGTTGGAGGCCATTTTAATCATCCATCAAGAAACCTTGGACCCAGTCATAATCACTATGTCTCCCCAGCCCTTTAGCCCATGGTAACAGATAATCTCCTCCTATTTCTATGAACTTTTCTATTCTGGAAATTTCAGTAGAATCATTCAAAATGTGATTTTTTTCATGACTGAATTGCTTTCATCTGTTATGTTTTGAAGGTTCACTCAAGTTATGGCATATATTTGTACTTCCTTCCTTATTCTACTGTGTGGACATACGGGTTTTGTTTATCCATTCATAAGGGTGACTGACATTGGGTTGTTTC